GCGCTCCCATGTCGTATTCAAGCATCGGAACGTGCGAAACCTTGGCGTCAAAAAGTCGTCGTCCCAGATGAAGAATGGGTCGGGGGTGTGGGTCCCATAGCGGCGGTGAAACACTTGTCCGCGCGAAAATCGAGGTCGCCATATCGACAAACGTCCATGCGTTGCCTGTCGGGGGATGCACTTTCCACGTGGAACGAGTGCACACCACTCGTCGCAAGTGCAGCTTGTCAACGACATGTCGTTCGAGAAACCACACGACTTTGTGTACCAAGCGATGGTGCCTCGGTGGTCATGTGGTGCAGCATTCCCCCGTAAGCAAACCGTCAGGATGGATCGGTCCAAGCGCCGTTCCACCGTTGCTCATGGAGCCCTTTCACTTGATATTGCCGCGGCCCCACTACGTGACAAGTTTGTGTGTTTCGTCGATAGCTCCTGTCGTACGCCACAACGACGACGAAAGCGGTCGCCGTGTCATCCAAGTCCATTTACAACTCGCCCGTCCGTCCCCGCGGTCAACTGTTGGAAATTTTTGCCTTAGGCAGGGTGTTGGAGATACGATTCCAGGACTTGGATAACGTCGTCGGCCGACGGTCGTGCTTCGTCCCGAAAGGACAGACACTGTTGCGCCATCTCGAGTAATGGTCGAGGCATCGCGTTCGTAAAGGCTGGTTGGAGTTGCCCTTGACTCACCTATCTTTGCCGTGACATGACAACCCTGGAAAACGCAACAACGTACGAGCAGCGCGATGCGCGCATTCGAAAAGCCATCACCCGAGTGGCCAGAGGTCGCATACGGCGTCTCCATTGTATCCATTTCCGAGAGCAACGCACCAAAGCTGTACATGTCTGCCTTGGTCGAGTATCTCGCTCCACACAAGATCTACGTGGTGCGATCAAGACAACGACATCCATGTCGCGCGTACCTCGGGGGCAATCCATGCCACCGTGCCGACATTGCTCGTCATGGTTTCATCGACCGTCGTGATTATTCGCGAAATGCCAAAGTCGCTCAACTTGGCTTCGTACGTGCTGCTGAGCAAAACATTTTTCGCTTTCACGTCGCGGTGAATGATCGGAGGGTCCAGCCCATGTAAATAACGCAGCGCCATCGCGACGTCCCTCGCGACTTTGGCCTTTGTCGTAGGAACTCTGGATGGACACACGGCTGCTGGCCACGCCCACTGGAATTGCCTCGCTGCAACGTGTTGCCGATCCGTTTCCAGCAGTTGACGGACATCCCCGTGTGGCATGTATTCCGTCAAGACCGCCATGTCCACCAGGGTCGACCATGACACACCGACAAATCGGACAATGTTCGGGTGGTCGAGCCGAGCGCACAGACGAATCTCGCGCATAAAGTCCTACCACGACCCACGGTTCGCATTGGAATCGCGTCGAGAGACAAACGTACTGCTGCCGCCTTGGCATCTTTCGCTTTCGACGGCACCAATTGCTTCATGGCAACGTCTCGACCGAATACCGCCGCTCGATACACAACACCAAAGCTACACACGAACACGTCGTGATCGGACGACAGGTTTGGCACGTACCCCCCCGACGCAATCAACGCCGCGTGGACAATGTCTTGCTGCGGAATGCGGTGTCGAATCATGTATGGGTCGAAACGAATGTCTGGATGGGCGGCGGCGTGGAACGATGGCTGTGTTGCGGCCGTTGTCCGTCGTCCGTCGTCGTTCGCGGGCGAGTGGGACGGCTGGCATCTCGACAACGTCGTCACTGTCAACGTATCGCGCTGGCAACTAGCTGGACTGCCGCGGCGTTTGCGGCGGTAGATGAAAGTTCCCGACACGGCGACAACTACTGCACCGACAACGATCACTCCGACTATCCAACCGACCGGGATGTTGGACGACGACTGGTCAGGAATGCGGGGACTTGGAAACGTTAAACCGGCGGTGGGGAATTGCCTCAAGCAATAGTCGAACTGGGTGCCAAGGACGTTGTAAAAATTGGCAACGTATGAGTCGTTCGAGGTGGCCACAACTCGGCATGACTCCTGGAACGACGCATACTGAGGAAACATCCGCTGGCACATGACGCAATTTTCTACAAGGAACGTGGTGTTTGCTTCGCTGCACGAACCGTAGAGCCGTTGGTACCCTTCGAGGTCCTTCAGGCACTGGTCCTAATGTCGACCGTGGCCGAAGTAGTCAGCAACAACGGTTCCAACACACGAAGAATGCAACGCACTGTGCAATACGATAGCGGCAAGCTTGTCAATTCGATGTCACACCCTTCAGCTTTTCGGTGTGCCGCGGCTTTGATTGCATCTGCACAGGATGGCACGGCGCACCACGTTCGCCCACTCAAGTAGTTTGTCGGCGACTCGTTCCGACAGGTTGCCAACTTTGTCTGGTACGTCTGATTCAATGCAACGCAGTGGGGCGCGTCGTCTGCCACCGCGACAGTCGTCGCCATCTTGAGCAGGAAGGACGCACCAAGAACAAAGGAAGTAGTCGGCGGCATCACGATCTTCTTCGTCGCTGGAGCGACAATTTGCACTTGATCTATTGCGCCACTTGGTCGCGAAATTATGATTTTTATCCAATCAAATGACACATTTGGATTTGATTGGATAAATATTCCAGAAGGGATCTGCCTCTGCAAAAAATAGCCGGTCGTGTCCGTGCCTCTGGCATGCATCGCTCTACCGTTTGACCATAAATGAGCGCATAAGCAAGTGCCCTCTGCCTGCGTCTCCCGCTTGGATTCGCCAACCGTTAATGCGTAGGCAGGCTGTGCATGCTTGGGTCCTGCAGTGGCAAGCATATCTCAAGCTGGGTGTCAGCCCCTTTCAGTGACTTGGAATATGATATACGTTCAGTGTACGTCGCACAGTATCCCATTGCTTCTGGTCAAGTGACCCAGAATAATAAAATGATTAGCGTGATTTGATTGGGCAGTGTAGATCAACCAATCAGTGACGAGGTCCAAGCTTTTGAAAAAGACCATCGAACGGGCGGAAGGTATGGGCGAAGAAGAGATGATGTCGCGAGCCGAGTTTGTGAAGGCTTTGGCGCTGGCATTAGCAGCAAATGATGAACAAGATGCCGTGGCACCAGAGGCTGTGGCGCGCGCTGCATACGAGTCGCTGCAGTTTGACTTTCCACAGATATCGCCAAGTCAGTTGAAAGCACTGGCAACGCACATGCGCGACGACACGGCAACGTTCCCACTTACATATATGCTGCTACGCAACGCGTTGGAGCTTGCACAGAGCTCTGATGGTGGGAGCAGTGCGGCCGCTGCTTTGCTCGTTCAATGCTTCTTCCTTCCATTCCACGCTTCGATGGACTACCTCACACACTTCCACTTACAGGTATTGACATCGTTCCCAGCATCTCTACGATTCCAACATCAACGCACAGGATGACAGCTCAATTTACGACAAGCTCTTGTTCATCAGCTACCACACGACGTACGCCCCGCTGTCGTCGCTATCGTTGGACGACTGGAATCACTTTCAATGCACAGATTTGTGCTGCTCGATTGCGTCCACTTTGCTCCATTATCCGACGGTACTTGCTCGTCTTCGCCGGTGTCAGGGTCATCATGATGCAATAGGTGGGTGGTCCGTCGGCTGTACTGCTTCAAATGGAGTGGCTCCGATACATGTACTTGTTGCGCGACCGCATCCTTCAGTATCCCGTGACATGTGCCAGCATACTCCACAAGATGCTCCACTTTTTCCACTCCCCTGCAAATTTGGAAGCCATTGAAGCGAGCCGCGCTTCCGCGGCGCCTCTACGCCTTCTCCTGGACATTGCGTCGTCCAAGGTGCAGGACTTTTCCCTGCAATCCATTCACATCTCTTTGTAAACACCAGGAGCTCAAGCAAGCTTCGATGGCAAAGTCGTCGATTTTATCGCTTCTTCGAACGATGATGCCAATGGTATGCCGCGCCGCTACCATTCATTCGTGTAAAGTTCTCAAGTCGATGGTCTAGATGGCGAAACAACTCATGTTGCTGGTTGAAAGCCCAGCCAAAGCGTCGGATGATGCGCGGCATGACGATGTTCTCATACACGCCCAACTTTTGGAGTGGGCAGTGCTCGAAGACCCGCCGGGGATTGCCGCGCTGTTGGAAGACTCGGGAGTTCTACGATCGATGCTTCGCTTCATCACAATGACGTCGAGACCCACCAAGGCCACGACGACTGAATTGCTGTCGATTGCACCGGTCAAGCACAGTCTCCGCATCGTGGTGCTGTGCATGCTCTTCCGCCCGACCTTTGCCGAGTTCATCGAGCGAGTACCTAGCATGAACCAATGGACCGCCACTGACACACTCGCGACGAAATATGCTGCGGAACACACGCTGTGGCTGCTCTCGAAGTCGTTGGGACAGTCGACACCGTCCCCGCATTCGTTGTGGAAAGCACTGGCGAGCCTCTTTCCTGTACAATGCGACCACGTTTTGGCAGCCACCACTCGGGTAAGCCTTCCCATGCGTTTGAACGCGCGATGAATGCCCATGGCCATCATGAATATCGTGGCAAACATGACGACGTTGTGCAAGCACCGCCACGTTTCTCGTCAACAGCAAGTACTGACCACGTCGTGGCAGATGCGAGATGCTGTGTTTGTGCTGGACGTGCTGGTGAAATTGAAGTTCCAGCCGCATTGGATCGCGTGGCCACACAAATCGACGTTGTCGTCCACGTTGCAAAACGTCCTGCCAACACTGAATACCTTGTTTCAATGCCCAACGAAGCAGGATGCGACGGCCACCGACGGCACGTCGAGCCCGCGGAGCCCTTCCCGCCAGACTGTGGCGTTGTTGCATCGGTTGCGCATGTCTATCAAGCAACTCACGGCGTCGTCGACGACGTGCGCGGCACTGTACAACAGCGACGGAGCCAAGTTGGATTAAATCGACGGGGGTGTATTGGTTGGGCTTTTGCCTTTTTTGGACTCGGTCGGGAGCTCAAACAACGCGATGAACTCGACCGCAGCTTCCAGCATTGTCGAGTAGTACCCGACTTCACCCATCGCGACGGACGAGATCATGGTTTCGCTCACGATCCGGCGCGTCAATAGCACTTGGCGCAATCGACTCTGGCACACGACGTAGATAAATATCGGGAGAAAGTCGTCAGCGGCCAAGTGGGGCGACGTATTCGGCATCGACGTGGGGGTGTCGTGCTCCATGGCGTGCAGCGTGTAGATGCTCGTGGCGGCTTCCATCAGCGCCTGACCTTTTTCAAAAGGCAGCGAGTAGTTGTCCATCTGATTGAGCTGGACAATGGCCGTCCTCCAATTCGACGGGGACCTACGGCGTGCGCCATGCAGTGTTGGTGACACAAAAACCATACGAACGGCGTACATGTGGTTGGGCTGAATATCAAAGAACGCTTGGCTTTGCCGCGATAGATAGCGGCGCTTTGTCTCAAATACTCGCACGGATTCTTCGCCCGTCGACACCAGTAGCAGATTGTACAGCACGTCCTATCGACACACAAACCACGACGCGGATGACGCCACCGCGACGGGGCAGCAATCGGCAACGTACTTGCAGTGGAATAAACGTCAGCCGTTCAATTTGAATCTACGGCGAGAATACATGTCACGGGCATATGCCAACCATGACAGCCGTGGCCGCACCAGGGCAGTGTCTCTCGCATCGGCGTAATTGTGTTCGATTTGCGCTTCCTGCTTGATTTGAACCATGTAGTCGCGGTACCGTTCCAGGACCTGCAAGATGATGAGCCACACAATTCGAATCGACAGCACAACGCCGAGCATTTCATTTGGCACACAACAAAGCACAACAGAGCGCACACTGATGCCCGCGTACCTTGGCCAAAATGCGCTCCATGAACATGCGGAATGACTTGATCGCAGACAGGACCTTGGCTTGGACGCATTCGTGTGTCGGCAATTTGTCGTAGTGCAGTTGAAAAGTCGCGATAAAGTTGCGCTACAATGGCAGTCATTTTCTAAACGCATTATCTGGTCGTCCGTTCGACGCACAATGTTCTCGGTATGCGCTTTGACAATTCGATCGCAAACGATTTTCGTCGGACGTGGGGGCACAGCCACGCGAGTTAACGACCGGCGTCTCTACGCACGCAAGCGATGGTTGTGAAGTCGACAGCAATAGATCACGCAACAGAGGTTGAGCCGCACCACCAACGTGTAGAAAGTAGATATGGTGGGGAAGCCTCGGTGTGCTGCCATACCTCGACGTTTTGCTTTAATTCCGTGCCGCTAGAGTCCTGGTACGACTCGCGGCACAGGATCGCGTCCTCAATCGCATAAATCCAATCTTCTCGCTCGTCCAGCGAGCTCGCTTGCAGCATGAGCGAAAACCCCCCGCCGCTGGTGTCAATGGCAAAAGTAAAATCGCGGCCGCTCAAGTGAATGTCCACATAGTGCACCTGCGCGCCATCAAACCCCAAAAACAATTGCTCAAGTCGATTCCAGGTGCCCGGTGGCATACCGTTGTGTCCTTGTGAAACAAGAGAACTTCACCCTTGAGCTTGTGCGTTGTGGACTTTGGCACGGTGGCGTCGACGTCTTCGCTAAAGTATCGCAGCACCTACCCACAATTCAAAACAAGTCCACCAAGCTCTCCACGACCCGACCGAGCCATCCAGGACAAAGAAGCGCCGCTTCCAGTTCTTCAAAATGTGGCCCTGTTTGTACAGCCACCCGCTCTTGCGATCGAGCTGTGTATCATCTACAAATCTGCGCTTAATCCGCGCATCGACCATCCCCACAACCTTGAAGCACCATCCACACACGCATCTCGATTGCCAAAGCCAGCGTTCGAGAAGAGACATCGGCAAACAAGTCAAACCACGCGATGCCCAGTCAAGAGCACGATCCGAACCCAAACCTTGACATGGTTGATGATGCATCGATCGTACCGAGACCGATATTTGCGTGCGCATGCATGGACTGGCGCCGCCCGACTGGCACGAACTCCCGTCGGCGCATCCACGTCCGCCGCCTCGTAAACGTCGTCGACCGATATGTTGGAGAGCACGCAGACGGGTTGTTTTGTCGCAGGTGGTTGAAGCTGCTTGCGTATTTCCAACCTGAAACTGGTTGATTGCTGGATCGACCAGCACGATTCCTCTACCATCTTTGTCGGTCACGTTTGGCACAATTTGAATTTGCCACGGAGATGTCCACTCCCACGTCCCGTCGGTGGACGGTTTGGGCAGCGCAATCGTTGGAAAGATCGGATAGTGGGTCGAGTACGTTGCATTTGTGTATCGTTTCGGGTCCATGGGGAGCAGGCATCCCTTGGCACCTACGACGCAAATTCTTGGTTCGGTTGTCCAAAAACAAGAGCAGGGCAGCCCACGAACCCCAGCCGAGCAAGATTTGGTAGCGTTCATGTTCGTAGATGATTTCGTCGGCCTCGGGGATCGCCTCGCTCGTGTCTTCTTCACGTACGCTGTCGTGGGTTGCAACCGTTGACGCGTTCTCAACGACCGAGTCGACACGGACACTACAACGAAGCGACCGGGATGACGTTTGCAACGATGGATCGGAGTGCGATTGCGCCACGACTTGCAGCCAAAACGAAGAGTTGCGTGCGCTCATCATGCCATTGGCGCTCAACGTCGGTCGGATGCCGCGGCGGGGCACTACCTCCGAGTCGTGAACCTTGCCTTCGGCGGAGCTTCGAGATGGCCCAGGGTCGTTCACTTCCAAGTCTTCGGCCGCGTTTGCGACGATATCATCCGCCAACAGCCCCAGTTGAGCTTCCAGCACGTCGCGATGGCGCATCGGTCTCTCCATCGCCACGTCAGCGCCCTGCTCAAATTCGCGATGGAGTCAAATATTGCATTTTGATTGGCTCTCCGAGTTTTCAAGCCATTTGATTGGTGGGATTCGTGGCAATGGATCCACCAACATGAGAAATTCCTGCATATGGCGGCGGCGACACGGCACCCGACGACGACAGCAGGACGACGCCTTCATGGACACCACAAGCACATTCCGTCACGCAAAGGAGCGTCTGACATGGCGATGAGATCCCGTTTTACGTACGGTCTGTGAATACGTAATGCGGTGGCCCGCACGACGTCATTCGTCGACCTGGCGTCGTCGCCTACCCCCCATCGCAATAGCAACGGCGGCACCATCAACCGACGCAGCGTGACATGAAAACGAGTCGCTCGGACCAAACGAACAAGCGCACCACATGATCGAGATAATGCATGCGTACAACGATGCAGTTTACAGGGCGAGGTGTACGCACACGTGTTGAGTCGCGATCGGACAGTCCCTCCTACGCCGCTCTGACGTTCCCTCGTCATGCTCTGAGCGGGATGCATCGCCTCAGGGAACCCGATCCGTTGTCTTTGCCATCCCTTCGTGCCTGTCGTTCTTGCGTTGAAAGTCAACGTGTTGTTCGGGCATGAACCATAATCGAGGAATTCGCGCAAACCCATGAGGAGCACCCTTACCCATGCAGTCACGAGGAACTCCCATTCCCTTCACCTTCCTCCGATCGCTCTCTCTCGTCTTCCACCGCCACCTCCTTGTCCATCCCTACTTCCACCGCGTCATCCTCTGCGCAGTACTTGTCTTCAGACATTGAGGTCTCCAGCATGCCGAGGGATTCGCTTATACGATACCACGCTCGATCCAAACACGCGGCCATTTGCTTCCCTTTGCAGGGCGATGCCATGTGCGCGCAGTGTCATGTCGCGCGCGCCCGCCCGAGACACCACTACCTGTCGGCATCCTCCCACATTGAGCGCTGCGGATGGCACGCATCATGACGAGCTTGTTTCGTTTCGCCGAACCCACTCGTGCGCCTCATAAGGTGTGGCCGTGCAAACGCGTGCAACTTGTCATGTTTCTGTGCGACGACGACCCGTTTATGTGGGCGAAAAAGCCTCCGTCCTGCCCCACCGCGGGAAGGGGCAAGCACCCTGCGCCACGCACACCGAATTGCCGACCGAGCCCTGTCGTATACGAGAGCTGCAGCAGCGCACGAGTTGCTTCCGTCATGCGGCGGGCGTCGCCAGATACACCCGTAAGAGAACCAACAGCTCCCATCTAAACGATTTCCTCGACATATAAAAAAGGCGGACAAAGAAGATCCATGATTTTTTTGGTCATTTCTCAACTGTCGGTCTTCCGCACCCACCTGCTCGTTCCTCCATGGCCGCAACTTCTATCGTCAACGTCGTCGTATCTGGCGCCGCTGGCCAAGTGGCGTACTCGCTCCTCCCTCTGCGTATGCCCGTCTCCCATGTGTCTTGGGGAGATCGCAACGAACGACTCATGGTTGTCCAGTTTGTAGCGGCCGCGTCCTTGGCCCCGATCAACGCATTCACTTGCGTTTGTTGGACATTCCGCAATCGCTCGAAGTGTTGAGCGGTGTCGTGATGGAACTCAACGACTGCGCGTTCCACCTCGTCCACGGTACGTGCCCGACGCCAACAACCCACTGCGCAAAGCATTCGTCGTCACGGGATTTCCTTGCGTAGAGATTGTCCCCACGACCGATCTCCAAACTGCGTTTCAAGACGCCGACATTGCGATCCTTTTGGGTGGATTCCCCCGCAAGCAAGGCATGGAACGGTTCGTGGCTGCACTTTCTCGCCCTCGACCATCCACCGTTCGTTTTGGATGTATTTAGCAAGGAACTCATTTCCAAGAACGGGTCGATCTTCAAGGCGCAAGGTGAAGCGCTTGAGTTGTATGCCCGCAAGTCTGTCAAGGTCTTGGTCGTGGCCAACCCTGCCAACACCAACTGCTTGATCGCGATGAAACATGCTCCAAGCATCCCCACGGAAAACTTTTCGGCCTTGGTGATGAGACCTCGATATCAACTTTTGCATGTTGTGACGATGCCTGTTGCTAGACTCGACTGGACCACGAACGCATGCGCTCGCTCTTGGTGAAGAAGATTCAATCGTACCCGTACGTCTCGAGTTGCGTTGGTTGTGGTTGAGCGATTGTTGCAGCGAGCACAAGCATGTTTCGTCGCAGCACTTGAAGAACTGTGTGATCTGGGGCAACCATTCCAACACGCAAGTACCAGATGCGGCGCACGTGGTCATTCAAATGGCGGACGGGTCGGTCGCGCCGCTCGCAGACTTTTTGCAAGACCCCGACTGGATTGACTCGTCGCTGCGTCCTTTGGTGCGTTGGCCCACAGCATGCTGTTGAACCACAAGCTCGTGTGTAGGTGCAAAACCGAGGCGCGGCCATCATCCAAGCGCGCAAGTTGTCGAGTGCCATGTCTGTGGCGGCCGCGATTGCCGGCCACATGAACGACTGGCTGTTTGGCACGTCGGAGTTGGTGTCGATGGCGGTCCTGTCGACGGGCAACAAGTATATCTTGCGCATTCCCCGATGCCGCGTCCTGACGTGTGGTGGTGGCTAGATATGATGTGCCCGACGACTTGATTTACTCGTTCCCCGTCAAGTGCATCGGGAACGGCAAGTACCAACTGGCCAACGTGGCCGTGACGCCTGCGATTGCAAAGCTCATGCAATTGTCGGCGGACGAGCTCGAAGGCGAAAAGGTCGAAGCATTTGCTCACGTTGAAAGCAACTGCTAATCGATGGCGTCCCCTGGGCGTTGGCTTTGTCTCTAAAATTGGCGCTGCACGTCCGCTGAAGCGTCGTCGCGGGGACGCAATTCTTGCCCGTGCCTTCCCCGCGCCGTACGAAACACAGGACGACGTGTCCATGTCGAGCGCTTGCTTCGGGCAAACGTTGTCGACAGCGTCGAGATACTTGTACATGTGGCACTGGCTTGGCATCGTTTTGTCACGTTGTGCCGCGACCCCCACGTGAAATCTGGCATGTAGCCGCCGCCAAGTCTGTGTGCCTAGCGCGCAAGTCTGTCCCTCATTTTCAAAGCGCTAGCATGCGTTGCATCCAGCATAGGAGGAAGTGCTGCCTCTTTGCGCATGTGCCTAGACGATGCCAGAGTTCTATCAGAACGGGTGCGACTTGCAGAGGTGGGTGTGCAGCATCGCTTTAGAGATCGCGACGGTCCCAGTACAAGGATATTGCCGACAATTGCCAGTGGTGGCTCGCACTGTGTTGGCGGTTCCCTCGCTCAAAGTGGCGTTGGGCCTCGAGCGACTCATCGCACGTGAACCATCTCTCCACAACGCATTGGCACGTTCAGCAAATCGATTCCCCAGAGCGTCGCGACGAGCTTTCTCGACGCCAGCACACACAAGTCGCCAAGATAAAGTGGTGATTTCACACCCCTCGGTCGACAACGCAACCTGTTCATGTCCCAATCTCAAGACACGACCTTTCATGCCACTTTTCTTTCTTCACCAGTACCCCCGACGTGTTTGTGAAAACGAAAACGTGCCTGCCACGTTGTACTTGCCGCCAGACGCAGAAACGAGCTGGCACATTGTTTGCTATCCTCGACCCAGCTTCCACGGTTCTGGCTTTGTTCGCTGCGTCAAACGTCGAAGCTGCGCGAATCACGTCCAGCATCGATCCAAACTCGAGCAAACCCTGCTAGGACCACTTTGGCGGCACCAGCCCTTGTTGTGTCACGCGCCATCTCGTTTCAACTCTTTGCATGCAATTCATGTAAATGTTGTTATCTCGCTATTCTTGGACCAGTTCGGTCGAGCCGACCTTGTGCCGCGCCACACGTCGCAACGTGTCCTTGAAGTCGTCCTAAGCCACCGATCGTCGTGCCAGGAAGATGAAACAAAGGCACACACCATCCAACAACAAACTCCACGGCAATCCGGCACACACGTTGCCGATCCATCCGCCACAAGAAACACGACAGGATCATACCTCGTCTCGGTCGACTTGAAACACCTCGACCGCAGCTTGGACAACCGGGTCGTGGTCGGCAATGGCTTGTTTGAGGGCGGCGACGTCTTCGGCAGGGACGTCCAGTTCGTACACAAAATGCAGCAATTGCTTCTCCATCGCGCCAGCACTTGCAGCAACGTCGCTCGAGTCGACCACGTCAGCGCGACCTGTCGACGCGACTCGATTGAGTGTGTCGACCAGGTCGGACTATGCAACAACACATCAGCGCAAACGGCCGTCAAGTCCAAAGCTGTTGGAAAGCGTCCCACAACGCAAATCACAATATCGCCACATGCAAACGATCCATCCACCCGCACGTACCACGTCCTGGGAGCTTTCAAACACGTCAAACGCGGCGACGACTCTGGGATCGTCCACTCGCAGCGCCTCCAACACGTCTTGACTCAACTTGCCAGCCGAGTGCAGCGCCAGCAACGACGACGCGATTTGCTTCGCCTCTTCTTGTCCGTCGGCTTGGTCGGCGGCCGTTGACGCTTCTTGGACATACAACGCCGCCAGTCGGGTCAACGTGTCGACAAACTCGTGCTCGTCGTGATCGTGTACGAACACCAGATACGCTGCCATCATGCGAGGGTCGTGGCCAGCCCACAGACGTCGCAGTCCATCGCCCTTCCCTTGGCCTTCCAACGGTACGATCCTACCGCAGCGTTCCTCACCAACTCTCTCGCCATGATTCAACATGCCACCGATCCAAAAACCCACTTCTCAAACGTCGTTCCAAGCAAATATACAACGAAAAACACCCGCCTCGAGTTGAGGCAAACGCAACCAGGCTCAAGAAAGCACGCAGTGTCAAACGCTGGCATGCGTACCATGTCTGCAGAATCGTGTCGTGGTTGGTTTCCCACTGCAGCACGTCGTATAATTCCCCAAGTGTTTGCGCTAACGCGCAGAGATCGTTGGACGCCGAGTACGCAGACACAGCAGCGCGCAAACGCGCGTCGTCACGAGCCACATGCGACAGCAACTGATGCTGGGCTCGAGTGAGGAGGGACTGGCGAAGCAACACATCCAGCAGCGACTGCGCATCTGACGGTTTGTCGTGGGGCGGTGAAGTCGTCGATCCGGCTTTTTTCCCGAGAGATGCCGTCGGGCTGGTCAAGGTTCCAAATGTCCCGTACGACGGCGGCGATTGCGGAGCGGACGGTTGCGATTCCTGGCTGGAGAAGGTTCCACTTCGTTGCGTGCTGTGTTTGGGGGACAGTGGGTTCAGTTCCTCTAGACTCGGGGCGGCTTCAGGGCTTTGCGGCACGACCACCGAATCGTGTGCTGGGGAATCTGGAAACCCACGTGCCGACTGGTGGTGTGGCGGAGGCGGCGGCGACAAAGTGCCATCGCCACCCGTTAGACCAGCGTGCTTGACGACCAGCAGCAGTGTATCCACGAGCTCGCGCATGTCCTTGTCCACATGGAAAGCTTCGACGGCCCCGACCATGGCCTCATTCTTGGCTTCCCACAGCGCCAACAGCCCTTGGTATTGCGCCCGAGTGAGCAAATGGCGCTCGACCATTTCGCGGCAGATGCTCTCCAACGAGGGCGACGCCTGCTGCCGCTTGAACCGTACGATTCGCAGCAACGTATCGGCCAACTCGTCCTTGTCTTCTTCCAGCTCGTACACTTCCCACGCCGCGAGGACCAATTCATTGCCTACCTCACGACCAGATAAACCCAACCCAGGTAAAACTATCCAAACACTCCACTTCGTGACAAGCTCCAAACACATTCGCTCCTCATTCTTCTCGTCCAAACCAGATCCGTCTCCATCACAGCCGACTCGCACACATATCCACACAAACGATTTGAGGACAAAATGCACGCGAGGAGCTTTGGCATTTCGTGCTTTCAGTCGCAACATCAA